CAACCGTTCAATTCAATACATGTCATTATTGACGAAAAATAAACACGTTGAGTAGATAGTTATTTCACGGAAATAATAAATTTGGGAAACTTTTATTTTTTTAAATTAATCATAAATTTTACTGCAAACAATGACGATAAAACAGTTTGGTTTGGTTTGGCGATAAAACAGTTTTTCAAATTTATGATTTCAGTCTAATAACTATTTAGTCAACATGTTTAATTGATGTCAATGATGACAGATATTGATAATTTCGATTCCAAATAACTCGAAAACCATTACTCGTAGCTATTTTTACCAATAGACCTTTTTCACGTAGAAAACGCTGTAAATGTATATTTTTTCACTCAGTATTTTATACAGGTACGGTTGAAAAGTTATTATTCTTCAAACCAGTTAAAAAATATGTAGGTGGCGCCCTCTATTAGTAGGAGTCTTTGAATAAGAAGACTAAGAAAGGAGCATAATGCTATCCATGTATTCATGCATGGTGGGCGGAAAAAGCACTCTAGGGTGGGAAGCCTTGACAGTTCTGTTTGACGATTCATTTGACACATTTGAATTTGATTTGAAATTTTGTGGATTTGTCAGTCTTTACGGAGCTTATTTTATGTTATTTATTATTTATTCTACTACTGATAGTTGTATAAAGGTAGTAAATCTAGATGGAAATTGTGGCAGCACTTAAATTAACAGTGACACTATCGCGATTTTTATCGAAAAAGACTCTAAAATAGTTGGTTGTGTAGCGTGCGGTAGGTCTCGGCAAAAATTGAGTGAAATAATGGAACAACTTTTCGCTAGTAAGTGACTATATAATATACATACGTGTAGTAAACCGATCATTTATGAAATTCACTTAAATTAACTAAATTGTATATTTTTCTTGCATTTTAGCTTTTATTTATTACTTGTCAAAGATTAGACGTCAAAGAATTTAGATACGTTAATTTGACTTACCTGCTTCAGTAGCGTATCGGATGTTTGTGTTAATAAATACTTATTATAACTTATCTATTTTTATTAGAATTATATATTTTTATAACAATTTAATAACTACCAACATTTATTCACAACGTAAAATAAAACAACAAATTATTGAGTCTACCCCATGTCTACCCTACATCATAGTTTTACATTTTTTAAATAAAATTAGAACGACACTGATAAACCGGAATTTAAGCCGGCCATATTTGAGGCCTATCGCGGTGTACCTAAGATTTTTGATATGCTCCTTCCTTAGTCTTATTATTCAAAGGTAGGAGTCATATTGCCATCAAAATCAAATTTCTCATATCAAAAAACTCCCAGACACTAATTTCCATCCAAGTATTTACGTTACTTCAGAAATTATTTGGAAAAAATCGAAATAAAAATGAAACTTCTACACCCTGTATCTCCGAAACTAAGCATTTTAGGACATACATTTATAGAAACTTTTTTACTTGTTTTTATCTGCAGAATATGCTGCCAAAGTTTCCGGAATACAGTTCGGACCACCCTGTATATACAAATGACACTAAAATCACGTAAAATTAAACGGTTAATTTTCAGAACAATTACAAACAGAAAAATATGTTTCTTTTTATAAAATTTAACCGATTTTGTAGTAATTATATGTATCTATTATAGATAGATGTCATCGAATACATGTCTATTAAAAGTGGTGATGTGTTTTGATCACTATGTAATATATCGACGGCACAAGCTAAGGGCTGGAAGATTTTAAGGTACTCTTCAATATATTCGAAATAAATTTATTTCGTTCGTCTTTCGGGCTACATAACGGAGTCGGGGATTCACTTAAAAGACAACAGACTCACTACGCACGCGTAACACGACTAATAATCAAAACCGGTTCCGAAAAACTAACATTTTATTTACTAGTGGTATTAAGCATTGTTTTTATTCTGCTACCTCCTAACAGTTTAAAAAGAAATGCTGCTGTTAAAAATTGAACATAAAAATACACATAAAAATCTGACTTACGCCTTTTATAAAAAGACTTGAATCTTTTTAATGATTTAAGTCTTTTATAAAAAGACTTAAATCTTTTTTTAGTTTGGAATAAAGATTTATATCCTAAATCATTTTCAAAAAGATTTATACTTAGACTTTTAGGTACGTAATAATTTCTTTGTTGTATAAACCAACAGTATACACGGTGGCCCATCGAAAACGTTCAGCAAGGCATAACGGCCAGGGTAATTTTTTTTTTCAAAAAATTCAAAAACACGTCAATTTTGTTTGTGAGGGGGACAACTTTTGCCTCAAAAATGATTGCAAAATCTTCAACCCTCTAAGAGGGGGTGAAATCCCCCAATTTTTTTCAAATAGGAAGGTGGGTCAAGTGGTACCGCAATGAAAAGGGCTTTCTATTCTCTATACTTATCCGCTTCGTTTTTGAAAATCGGTCGAGTCATTGAGAAAATATGAAGGATTGAAATTTGAAAAGTTTATTTAAACATTTATCAGAGTAAATGAGAAGGATAAATTCCACCAATTTGCTGTTTTTTCTTATTATTTCTAGATGTTTACGCATTTTTTCACTTGCCACAAGGTTGAAGGATCAGGTGCGGTAGTTGCTAGATAGCTGTTCTGTGACTAATGCGTTATTTAATGTGTTTTTCGGATGAGTGTACTTTCCTTTTGAACGGTGTCGTTAATCGGCACAACTGTCGGTACTGGGCTGAGGACAACCCCAGGGTTTTTCACGAGGTGCACACACAAAACCCTCAGAAATTAAACGTGTGGGCTGGTATCTTTGGGAGTTCTGTTGTGGGTCCTTTTTTTCACCCTGGAAATCTAACACGTGATATGTACTTGGATTTACTGGAAAATACCATCGACCCAGCCCTAACTGACATTATAGAGAACAATCCTGGATACGTTGAAGCGGAACTAATATTTCAACAAGACGGTGCACCTCCACATTATTCTCAAAATGTGCGAAATTATTTAAACAATAACTTTCCCGGTCGGTGGATAGGACGAAGGGGTGTAATTGAGTGGCCTCCCCGGTCACCCGACTTGATTCCTTTAGACTATTTTTAAAGGGGACACATAAAAATAAAGTGTATATCACTCCACCCGCCTCATTAGAAGACCTGCGAAGAAGAATTATTTATATTTGTCGCGTCACTACGCAAGTTCTTCAGAATGTTCGAGAACGGTTTGAAAATAATTTGTATTACTGTATGGAGGTTGACGGGTAACATTTTTAGCATTTGCTTCATTAATAAGGTAAGTTTTTTAAATTAAAAGGAAATATAGAGAATAGAAAACCCTTTTTATTGCGGCGCCACTTGACCTCCCTTCCCATTTGAAAAAAGTTGGGGGATGACACCCCCGCTTAGAGGGTTGAAGATTTTGCAATCATTTTTGAGACAAAAGTTGTCTCCCTCACAAACACAATTGACGAGTTTTTGGATTTTTTCAAAAAATAAATACCCTGGTCGTTATGCCTTGCGGAACGTTTTTGATGGGCCACCCTGTATAATAGTAGTTCAAGTTTAGGCTATTTGTTCTTCTAAAAATTTTTGGTTTTGCCCTTAAAACAATACGTTATTGATAATGGTAATCCTACCTAGTCCTTGAAATTATTTTGATATAAAAGTCCTTTATTTAGTCTTTTTATTTATGTCGATCAATGTAGATTTTGAAATCATAACGAGCTCCGCAATTTGGCGAGTATTTTTCCCGAATTAAGATACTTCAATATTATAGATTTTATGGCGAGTGTAGTCTTATGTGCTCGTTTGATTGGAACCTTTAACACGCTCAAGAATGAAATGCAGAAATATAGACCATAGACTAATGTCACGTACTAGAGATAGATTGGACACTGATATAAAACAAATGGGTCCGGCATTTAGAGCCACCTGGTGATCCAGAAGAAACTAATGGAGAGTTTTGGCATAACATAATTTTAGCGTTCCGTTACTTATTAACGCTAATTAAAACGGTAACGTTATTTAAGCGCAAAATTATTCCTTGTAAAATATAAAATAATAAATATAGACTTTTTTACTGCCATTTTATGTTTTATTAGATCATTAGAAGTGTGACATAATTACAACAAAATTAAAATTATAAATACATACATTTTAAACACCAACAATAGATCACATAGCGCCTATTTTTTTTTTTGATTTAACAACTAAATTATAATATAGTAAAAATATTATAGACTACTAATTAACTGTTACTAAAAATACTATATATTATCAACTATGTACTTACTTATTTATGATTAAACTATTTTTTTATTTGGTTTATAAATTATTATTTCTAAAATGTCAAAATGACTTTAATAAAAAAGTTTAGTATCTAACACGAAAATGATGATCGACTGTAAATATCAGAATGCACCAAAAGAATGCACAAACTAATAAAAACACAAACTATAAACACAAATCACTGAACTTTCCGACAAATCAGGAATATCTGGGAATATCTGAATTAATAATTATTTAAATAATGATTTAAAAATAACTTGACGCATCACCAACATTTTGTCAACAATGTTTAGACAAAAACTAGACCATAGACAGTAGTTAACATAGAGACTGTCATGTCATCTTCATAATATAAATTAGAAACCTGTACTTTAATGTCTTTGCGCCGTCTGGCGATGCGGAAGAAACTAAATTTGTAGTTCTATAAAATTATCATAGAGTGTCTAGGGCATGATATAGACTCAGTTTATAAATAAAATGTAGACATGTCTGCTTGACAGATTGACAGACTGGAAAATTCTGAGATTTCGCGTATGATTTTTTTGCGCCCGGATTTCAAGGGCATATGTTTTAAAATGCCCGGTTAGCAGTATAACTGGAATGTCCGGTCTAGAGACTGTCCGAACTGTATGTATATTGCGATTTTGTTTTCATGTTAGAAAAGCATGCAAATGAGATGCTACCTAACTGTAAATATGCAAAGTTAGACATTTTGGACACTGAATAAACTATATTAATATAAACTGCTTTTCTCAGACTCACCGTTGATAGCCGGCGAACAAATCAACAAAGTCTCCGCCGCGGCATAAGCCAAATTAATCCCCTCCATCCTCGTAGATCCGTCTTCCTCCGACACGTGCAGCATGGCGTCCGATATGACCAGCACGTAGTAGGGCACGTGCATGACCAAGAAGGAGCCCACTAGCTGAAACACGGAGAACACAGCGTTGGGACCCCGGAATTTGGGACCTCCAGCAGATGGTGCTGTCACTGTTGGTACGAAGAACGGGTTGCGCTGGTGGGTGATGGTCACCTGAGCGGAGAGGGTGACCTCGTAGATGGCGGAGGCGATGCGGTGACGATGGTAACGGGCTATGATCAGGATCTGAAATGAAGTGAAAGTTTTATTAGAGACATATTTGGTAGTAAAAAAAAGTAAATGTTGTGTTAAGGTCTCCTTTCTACTGCTAGGGCTAATTTGGACGGGGTCTAGAATGTAGAATGTTTAGGAGGGGAGTTAATCACCGCGACCTTACATATCTATTGTGTGTTCCCCTTTCTTGAGTTATAACGAGTTAAGAATGATTCACGATACACCGGACCGTATCCGAGCCACGTCCGGACCTGTTTATGCTACACCGAGTTGATAACGGGGCTCGTATTAGTTCTGAGTATATTATAAAACACAGCCCCATAGACACACGAAGATTTAATACGAACAATGCCAAAGTTCTCGCAAGTGGAATTGGTACCAATTACAGTTGATGAAGAAAGAACAACACCAGCTTAAAGGGCAAGATGCAGGACCTATCTTCTTTATTACATCCTTTCATTGTCCAGTTTTACGCCTGTCGTCAAATACTGCTGTAAGATTCACTTATACTTACTACAGACATGATAAAAACTGTACTTTGTTTATATCATGACTGCAGATTGCAGTCGGGGCACCGGGAAAAATACATTCATGCTTTCCGCAACGTGGCGGGAACGGACCGAATCCGAGAAAAAAATGTACGCCGACATTTCTGGAACGGGGCATGGACGAGTTCCGGCGAAGCTCGGATCGTGCTCGGTCTGGCATGAATGTATATGTGTAAAGAACACTTGACAATGTTTGGCCGTGTCTTCACCGACGCACGGCTCGGACCCGTTACGGTGTAGCGTGTAGCATCCTTTATACCTCATCATACAGTCTCAGGGCTTTAGCAAAAGCCAGTATCTGAGACGGCTCCACAGAGACCAGCTCTCCATCCTCGACATCAGATGTACCAAAGTTCATGGCACGAACGGTCGTCATCTCGGCGCACTCAGTGATAAGGTGTTCTGGTGGTTCCCCATTTTCCTCACAGAATCTGCATTCGCCGTTGTTTCTCAGCTTCAGCTTACTGAGTATTCGTTGAGGAGACAGTGTCCTGTTAGAAACCCCATGGACAATCCGAACATTATTTTTACTAAAATCAAGGAAAACCTTTGATTTTTCTCGGTTGTAAGTTCTTAGGAACTTTTTCGAGTGTCTTAGACCGTTGGAGGACATCCATTACAGATTACGGATGCAGTCTTCCAGATTCTTCAGTTCCGCTTTCAGTTGGTTCCGGCTTGGAAAACAGAACGGTTCTGATCCAGTTAGCGGAGTGTTCGCTCCTTTTATAGCTAGATCATTTGCTTTTTTATTGCCTCCTATCCCTTGGTGAGTAGGCACTCAGAGTAGGAGGACTTTATTTTATTTGCTGGACGGGGCCTACTGTTTACGCGGAATCCGAACCGCGATCCTCGGCCATATCATGGTCAATGGCCTACTGACTTGGCAAGTGTCTAAATCGACTCTTAAGTTTAATTTTAATGCGTCCGTTATCCATTGATACGATGCCGATGGTCCGACGGCGCGGCGCTCTGATTGGGCATAGCGTTTTCACACCACTTTACATCCGTAAATTTTTTATTCCAGCCCGTCAACGAAGAAAGATCGTAAAATAACGGACGTTTTGGCACTTTTTTGACAAGTTTAATCTAACCATAATAAAAATGTAATAGTACAAGAGCTAGCAACGAATGTCCGGATAACGAGAATATTAAGAAAGCTGGTTCTTTAATGTATTTTTTGCTATGCTCGCCTGATTAAAGTGCGGGCTGTCTGGCTGCCGGTAAACTGCTGCGGTTCACATCTGTACAGGGTATCCCATTTTCGTGTGTTTTATGGGATTTCTCGTTTATGAGTAGAGATACAATGATGCGGTTTCACATTACTTTGCTACTTTTTTTATGAAACTAAACATACTACACATAGGTTTGTTCTAGTTCCTGAAATACAGGGCAAATTTGTGATGCGCAGTAGTGAACAGATGTTGAATACAGTTATGATGCGCAGTAGTGAATGCAATGTCTACCGGCAGCCAGACGGTCCGCACTCAGGTTCAGGAGAGCATAACAAATTATATTAAAGAGCCAGATTTCTTAAAATTCTCTCTCGAAAACGTTGCTAGCTCTTAGACTATAAATAAAACAGCGAAATTGTTATGGAAATGAAAATATAAAATGACACCAATCAAACTACACTTTTATTTTTGTTGTTTGTTCTATGTTTAACACGAATAAATTTTCAATACACAAACGCGGGTTTTTCATCCAAAGATATTTTGTCAAACATACCTATTACAGATATTACATATTTTAATATATCAACACTATCGCTTTCAGTTCCACACCGTCTTCGAAATACCTTCGTTAGCAGAATTAGAGAAAATGAGTGTTTTATGCGTTGGCCGCAGACTGTGTAGAGGCTCCACCGTATATCACTTGAGACTTGGAAATCAAATCAGCTTTGTCACGTATTTGCCTATTTGGTTGCGTATCTTCCCAATTCTCTCAATCAACGATTAAATGCTTAATTTTATTGGTAAAATTACCTACAATAAAGAAAAAAAAATCGACAACTCACAACCACGAGTACAGGTTCAAAAAATTAACCAGATTACACACTGTTATTATTGTCCAGAAGCTTTAAAATAAAATAAGTAGTTTTAACTTTTTATACTATTTTATTTTTGTTTTATTTTTCTTTATTTTACTTTTTTCTTTAATGATGACTAAATTGTATAAAACAAGAAAAAAAAAATATTTAGGTAATTTGTTATTATTTAGGAAAAAAATTGAAAAACAACTTTTCATTTAAAATATTTAAAAATATTCCATAATAAAAAATGGAAATAAATAAAATTAAAATTCTTAACCTAATAGCTTGAAGGTATATTTTATTTATTATTTATAGATCGGCGTTCAAAAAAAGTTTTTTTATGAAATATTATAAGAGCAGAATGAAAATACCTGTCAATATACCTGCAAAAATATTACAAAACAAATATTTTATTTAGTTTGGGGAGAACTCTTTTACAGAGAAACTTCAATACCTACTGAGCAATACTTTATTCAGAAAATCATGCAAACTTCTAGAAACATTTGAAATTCTAAAATGGCTTTACAATTCTTTTGCATTTCAGAAAATATTATTTTGTAGTATAAAAGAACTGTATAATCAAAACAATACATGGTCAAAAATGGCTAAGGAATGGCCATCGATGATAATTTTGACAATGTCAATTTCTGGACGTAATTTATTAAAAATTAGAGTATTAGAGTATTTCTTACAAGTTTTTTGTTTGTTTGTAGACTTAGTTATTACTGTTATTTAATATCGTTAGTCCTGTTAGGGTCTCAAAGGCACTGACGACCAGCGACCAGCATTTGATTCAATGTTATTAAATACTGGTCGTCAGTGTGTTTGAGCCCTTAGTGTTACTAATATTTATTAAAACCAAACCTGTATCGATAATTTTTAACGTTTTTTAAATTTTATTATAGGGTTCTATTCAGAGTCGATATGACATTACAACAATAGTCACTAAAGCTACCTTGTAATATTAAAAAATAACATCATAAAGTAATGATAGTTGAAAAAATTGCAAATTGTTGGTGACTGAGTTTATGAATCAAAGTTGATAGATTTATATACAGTATGATAAAAATTCATATAAATAGGACTAGAAGTAAAACAAATATAACAGTTTAAACTTGAAGAAAAAATTTTCCGTTGCTGTTTTTGCATCGGACGTAGTAGTTTACATACGTTTTGGAGTGCTTTTTTATTATTTCTGTTGCACTACGACTATTTGCATGTGCCAATAATAAAGCCATTCTATACAGGGTTGTTCACCACATACGACACGGAGTATTGTAGCTAAACGATCAGATTTTTACAAATTATAAGTTTTGGGTTCGTTGAAAGACTATTAGAGCTACAATTTAAAAATAATTTTGCAAGATACAGAGTGTCCCAAATAAGTAAAAAAATATTATAGCAGTATTTTTTTAAATGGAACACCCTGTATATTATTCTATTTTTAGATTCTACGACTGAAATAAAGGTAAATTTGATTAAGGTTTATTGCACTTAAACCTTACCGTTTTTGAAATATTTTCAATTTTGTGAAATTGCAGTAAAAAATTTAAGGCCTCATTTCTCCAAGGGTATTAAAAGTTTTAATACTAAATATTTACTGAAGATTATTTACTGATCAGATATTATATTGCAATAATAAAAATTACACAACCTTATACAGAGTGTTCAAAAAATTATATTAAATAATTACTAGCTTTAAACGGCAATAACTTGTTTAATTTAAATGGGACACCCTATATATTTTACTTGAATCAGATGCACAATTTAATTGTCTATCAAATTGTATTATACCATTCTTTGCCTATTTCTTCAAGTTTTCGTAGAAAATGCATTTTATATTATTTAGACCTCATTTATCACTATACCTATGGAATATTGACATTTTAGATTTTTTTACACAGCAACATGTGTACAAAATATACAGGTGGTAAAATAATAATATTGTAAGCCCATTTGTTTACAAAAAGAAAACTATTTAAGTCTTTGTAAAAGAGTATACCAATTATTACTAATTATTAATATACTCCGCCTATTATTTCCGCCTAACAATTAGTTAATTACATACTTAATTGTTTTAATTAATAAATTATTCTAAATAAATGTGGATTTGACTCAGAAATCAATACAATAATAAGTTATATAAATGAACATCTCTGTTGTTATAAATAAGCATTCGTCAAAAAATGAAATATATTTATAAGGTGGTACATTTTACCACACTGTCTAATACACATACAAAATTCAGGTTTTTAGTATTTGGAAAAATTATTGTTAATCAACGTAAACAGTGAATTAATGTAGTTTAAATACTAGGATCATATTAATTGGTGCTATTTAACAAATATTTAAACAGTTTTTCTTATTTTTTTAATGAAATAAGCGAATTATATCGACCATATTAGTATCTCTTTGTACTTAGTACTCTTTGAAAATTTGTTACATTTTTAAAATAATCTAAAATGTCAATATTCCATGGGTATAGTGATAAATGAGGTCTAAATTATAAGAAAATGCTACTTCTACAAAAACTTGAAGAGATAGGTAAAAAATGGTATAATACAATTGGATAGACAATTAAATTGTGCATCTGATTCTCGTAAAATATACAGGGTATTCCATTTAAATTAAACAAGTTATTGGCGTTTAAAGCTAGTAATTATTTAATAAATTTTTTTAGACACCCTGTATAAGGTAGTATTTCGTTTATTATTGCAACACAATATCTGGTCAATAAATAAACTTCAATAATTATTTAGTATTAAAAACTTAGATGCCCTTGGAGAAATGAAGCCTTAAAATTTTTACTGCAATTTCATAAAATTGAAAATATTTCAAAAACGGTAAGGTTTAAGTGTAATAAACCTTAATCAAATTTACCTTTATTTTAATCGTAGAATCTAAAAATATAATAATATACAGGGTGTTCCATTTAAAAAAATACAACTATAATAGTTTTAACTTATTTGGGACACACTGTATCTTGTCAAAATATTTTTAGATTGTAGCTCTAATAGTCCTTCAACGAACCCAAACCTTACAATTTGTAAAAATCTAATCCTTTAGCTACAATACTCCGTGTCGTATGTGGTGAACAACCCTGTACTTTTTAATAAATATTTTTCTTACCTTTGCGTTACAGCATATTAATACCGTGGCTGGTAGCAGTAAGGTAAAGCATGTGTATGCGACCGCATACCAGAATGCACTTCTTCCGTCGTTAAAGTCGGGAATGCAGACCCCTAGTCCTTTCATGTACCGATAGGGGGAGACGTTGAACAGTGGTGGAATGGTGAATAGGAAGGAGTTAACCCAGCCGATAGCTAGTCCAGAAATAACCTAAAACAAATAATATATTCTATATTCTATAAAGCATAAAAATATAGCAATTAGCCTTAAGTAGAGATAGATAAGGGTTTCCACATCCGCCGCCCGGAAGAGGAGGAGGCGTCATGTGACGTAAATCAGCTAAGAACATGTAAAATAAGCTAATAAACAAGAATAAACAGGTTTGAATCGCTTTGAACTCCTTTAAAACAGAAATAAACGGGTTTGAACAAAAAATGATCAGGTCTGTTGTTTTAAACTAAAAAGCGGTTCAAAGCACTTCAAAAGCAGTTCAAAGTGGTTCAAACCTGTTTATTCTTGTTTATTAGCGTGTTTCAACCGTTCTTACCTAATTTCCGTCTAACGCCTCCTCCTCCTCAGGGCGGCGGATGCAGAAACCCCCATCTCCCTCTACTGCCTTATAAGCCATTTATCTTTTATATTTTGTATATAGGCTTGGTGCATTCTCCGCCGGTGCTGCCACCATCGGAGTATATCGTAAACAACCGGAATATACAAATACGCGGGTTTAAATAGCGAGTACACGAAAAATGTATTATTTAATTATTCTAAAAGTGTCTAGTTCAACTACGGTAGCGAGCATAGTTTTAATCACCGGTTTTTGTAGTTGGGCATAATTGGAGCTATTTCGGCTATAACTAAATTTTTTAAAGGTACATACAATTTTAGAAGATGTTCATAAAACATTTAATCACTAGTTGATTAAAAAAAGTACACCATTAATATTGCAAATTATATTTTATCCTCTCATAGTATATGTTTATTTAATTTTTTGACTATGTAACGACTTAAAAAGTGAGAAACTATGAAGCTATAAAATTCTCTTTCGGGAGAGTTGAATATCCGGGAAAGTTGAGTTATAGAATGTTATTGCACCCAACAACGCTCTAATTACGCTCTCCTTTACGCGTTAACATTTTTGCGGCAATTATATTAACATTTGAAATTGTTACAACATAACACGAGACCTAGTCTGAATTATTTTTCACTTATGTTTTACTACCCGAAACAGCGTTACATCACACAAACCCCGTACCTGAATATTTTTTAGTCTCAATAACTGCACTAGCTTCTTCTTTGGCTGCCATGTGCTATGCCGCACGTTGGCGATCATTTGTCTGTTTTATGGCTATAAGATGACTAGGGTGCCCTCTTCGGCTCGTCGAAATATGGTTGCTGCGTCAGGTATGCCACTCCAGTTTCTTATGTTGCGAAGCCAAGAATGCTGTTTTCGACCCGGTCCCCGTCGGCCTTCGATCTTCCCCTGCAGTATCAACCTGGGTATGGAGTATTGACGTCCCCTTAATATATGTCCTAGATATGATACTTTGCGTTGTTTTACGGTATCCATTAGTTGTCTGTCTACTCTGGCTCTTCTTAGGACTTCATCATTTGTTGCATGCTCCGTCCAGGGTATGCGCAGAAATCGGCGAAGTGTCCACATTTCGAAAGCCGCAATTCTGTTTATTGATTTTACCTTAAGTGACCAAGTCTCAGCGCCATACAACATCACAGGCCACACATACGATTGAATTACCCGTATCCTGGTATGTAGCGGCATATTTCTATACAGGAGTAAATTCTTTAGTTTAAAGAAGGTTGTTTTTGCACGGCCGATTCTTCTTTTAACTTCCTCATCGCAATCCCACCGTTCATTTAGGGAGGCGCCATGATAGGTAAAATTTGTGACCCGTTCGATGTTCTCTCCATTGATGTTAAGACGAGTGTTGTACTGGTGTCTGCTGAGCACCATCATTTTAGTTTTCGCAACGTTAATATGGAGTCCAAACTGTACACCGCATTCGTTCAGTTTATTTAGCAGAATCTGGAGGTCCTCAAGGTTGTTAGCCAGAATTGCGGTGTCATCTGCATAGCGGATATTATTTATTGGGATGCCATTGACTTTAATACCCCGCGTCTCACTCTCCAAGGTCATCTGAAAGATTTTCTCAACGTAGATGTTAAACAGAATGAGTGATAGTACACATCCCTGCCGAACTCCCTTCAATACGCTGAAGGTTTCCGTTTTTCGATCACCATCAATACGGATCTCCGCCGACTGCTGCCAATACAGTTCTTTAATTATTCTGATGTCCTTGCCATCTACGCCTATCTCCTGTAGTCTCTCCATCAACGGTTCGTGTTTTACGTTATCAAAGGCTCTCTGATAGTCAATAAAGCAGATGAAAACATCTTGCCTCTGATCGTAACATTTCTGCATAAGTAGTTTTACAGAGAAGAGAGCTTCTCTAGTGCAAAGACCCTTGATAAAGCCGAACTGTGTGTCGCCACTCATCTCTTCACACTTCCGATATATTCTAGAATGGATGACTCGAAGAAACGCTTTAAGTGCGTGACTCATTAAGCTTATGAGTCTATGGTCTCCGCAGTTTTTGGGATTTGTTTTCTTTGGGATGGCGATAAACGTGGACTTTAGCCAGTCCTGTGCGATTTGTCCAGAATCATATATCACGTTAAAGAGATATGTAAGCTGTTTAATGTCGGTCTGCTTTAGAACTTCAGCATATATATCATCATGACCTAGACTTTTTCCGTTCTTTAAATAATCTATTGAGTATCTGACTTCAGACTCAAGAATTTTTGGACCTTCCATATTTCCAAAATTGTTTGCAGGATTATGGGTACGTTGATCCCAAAACAGTGCCACTGCACTAGCAAAAAACTAAAATACTTAAATATTATGACAAAAACACGATTTCAATATTATTTTAATGGGATCAACATGACGCATGACGGTCGGAATTTGTCGAAATCAACTGAAATGCACCAAGGCTATAGAAACATAGTAGGCCCCTGTCAACATATTAGTGATGGGTTGTTATTTAACTATCTGTTATTTTATAACAATTATTTATAAATAACATAACGCAACCGTTACTACTTCTAAAAAATAACAGATATAAAATAACGACACGTAGAGATCGGCCGCTCGTGAAACGAAAAACGAAGTCGGCGTTCTACACCACCACGAAATCCTATGCTGCTCGCAATTCCAAAAAACAACTAATATGGATGGAAAACATGTTATTTCGTCAACCATCGATACAGGCGGCGAGACAACGGACAACGGAGTGGGGAAAGCGCTACGGCGAACGTAGCTGCTTCGGTCGAAACCGTCGATGGTCGTATTGGGTTTAAGGACACAGTAGTAACAGCTTAAAAATAATAGGATATAAAAGAAGCAGGTTTTTTGAAACAGTTGCGGGCATAACGCCTGGCGGTCGAGATAACAAGAGTGGGAAAGGAACGCTGCTGCATCGGTCAATTGTCGATGGAGGCTCGCAACGGGTGGGAGAAGCAGTCATCTTAAGCTGCGTATAAATATGTCGAGACGAGTGCGAGAGACACCCGAGACGAGTCAACTACAAGCGGATTTGAGGTTGACTCGTCATATTGGGACGGGGTCTGAGCTTCGAGCCGAGCCTATGCCCAGCCGGACGGCGTTGTCTCCGTTTTTTCCGGAGCCTTTGGCGAACCATCAAAAGGATTGGGGCGTCTATTTAACCAGTGGCGTATACACCGCGGCTCCGCGGAACAATTGCTTCGAGTCTCAAGGGGCACGGATTCCACTTTCCACATCCCATTTTTATATAAAAATAAATATTCTTTCCTTTATTTGTAATAATGTTAATAATGCATCCTAGCTAGAAAGATGCAATTTTGTCTTCTCTAAAATAGTATAGGTAAGTTCGCCAAAGTAGGTAAATCTCATATACAAAGATTTATTAGTGATTTCCTTTATAAAAACATGAAAATTTTATGAAAAATGAATAAACGTAATGAACTTTTCGTCGAGTTATTAACGGCTCAAACGTAAATTATGCGCTATTTCTGCTGAACGGAATTAAAGATGTAAAACAAGCTTCTTTACATATAGGATACATCGAAGATAAGAGAGGCAAATCGAGTCTGTTGAAAAAGGTGGCCATGCTCTCAGAAGTTTCTTACGGTACTCTCATAAATAAAGGGAATCCACAAAGAAAGGAACGATTCGATATAGAAAAATCCAGAAATTTGAACTATCCAGACTACTAAGAAACTTAATTTATGGCAAATATGAAAATAATAAAGTTCCCGCCATAGAAATAATTAAAAAAAAACTCTCCGAGCTTTAAAAAAACCCTGTTCAGAAAGCACATTACGGCGAAGGTTTAAAAAACTGGGAATTAGATTTAAAATTATATACATAATAATATTTTAAAAATTATTAATAAGCGTGCTGCAATGATGGAAAGCCATAGAATAATAATGTGGCGAATTGAATACCTTGAAAAAATATACAACTTTAGAAATGAAGAAATGCAGATATATTATTTACAATATATGTTCCAGGTTAGTTATTGGCATTTAAATATTGAATAAAATAATTAAAGACTCAAAAACAAACGGCACTGGCAAAAGGCTCCGCCGCCGCCGCTGCCGTGCCGTTATCTCCAGGTAGTCGGCGTTCTCCAGTTTTTTTTAATGTAAACAGTCCGAATATAATTTAAATTTATCATGAATTCCTTTAATTTATCTAGCTTGTTTTTTACCTATTTTGAAATTAAACAAACATATACAGGGTGTTTCAAAAAACATGTTCCATCTCTCGTGGGGAAGTTCCTCACGTAAAAATAAGATTTATTTTTTATATCAACCAATCCAATTCTGCTTTGATTCGTAGCTACAGGGGGTTAAAATAGGGTTCCCAACCGTCCTCTATTCCAGAAACAGTCCTCTTTTTGATCTGATTGTCCTCTTTTCTCTCACGTATTGAAAACTTTGTTACATACTAACTTCAAAATCTAAAAAATATTCGTTTATCGCCACAATGCTTTAAAGAATTGTTAATCTGTGTCTTTTATGTAATTTTATGTTTACTTACTGTTAGTTTATGTCTTGAAAAAAAGTTTGTTGACAATGGTTTGCTTTATTTTAATAAGTTTTGAGTATAAATATTTTTGTGTATTTTAAATATTTATCGCATACCG